CATATGCTGCCCTATACCAGATGCTCACGCTTCTTTCTTCTGGATGCTAGGGCCTACTTCATAGTGTCAAAAACTTCCCAAGGGCACCTCTGTATCATCACCCTGACCAAGATGACAGGACTGTGGCCAATTCAAGAGAAAGGGTTTATGCCAGATTAGACCCCAGTACAGAGGTTTCCTTCCTTCTATAGGCCATTTCTAAGGAAGTCATCTTCCTCTGCTTCCCTGCCCTACCTCCTCTAGCTTTTTAGACCTAGTTAATTACATTACTGGACAACTTGCACTGGTCTCTGATCTGACAAAGTCTTGGAGAAGGACTGCTAACCTATGTTCCTTACCAAGTAGATTCAGGACCAGTGGCATTTTAGAGAAAAAGGGACTTTAGTGGTGGTGCTCAGCCTCCCACTTGCCCCTTCACTCCTGATTCAGTGCTCTTTTAGGAACCAGAGGTTACTAAGCTTTGAAAACAAATGGTCTTTTATAGGATGGATTTTTTTTTTAATGAGATAAACTAAAATGCTGAATGTCCTTTAAAAGCAATGTTTAAATGTTTAAAGGGGTTGTAGTTTTTTATGGTTTTTCTTCCTCTTTTATACTTAATGCCACCATTTGCCTAACAGTCTGTCATACTGTGGTGGCTTGGGTGTTTCTATGATGCTGGAAACTATGCTACCAATATTTTCAATAACTGCAGGGTCAAACTTGGTGGACAGGATTCAGTGAATCTTCCAGACAAAGACACAGGCTAGAAAGAAAGAGATATGGACTACTTCTGAATACCTAGCCACTGAAAGCCCAACAGGACATTTTCAGATATAGGTGGAAGTTGAAAACATTACAAATAGCACTAGAATACTGTCAAATATAGTGCCAGAAGAAGAGTTCATCATGGTTGGAAGGCACTGAAAATATAACTGGAGAAGAGCTGCATCCTCAAAGTAGAGTTGATCATGATGACACCAATCGAATAAAGCTTCCAGGAACTTCATTTGCTGATAGGGCACAACTCAAAATGAGGACAGACAGCTGCAAACATCCATTAGAAATCGGAACATGGAATGTATGAAATTTGAATCTAGAAAAGTCAGAAGTTGTCAAAAATGAAATGGAAGGCATAAAGATCAGTATCATAGGTATTAGTGAGCTGAAACTGACTGATATTGTCCATTAAGAATAATCATATGAATTGGCCGTTTAGAATAATATGTCGGGAACAACAAATTGAAGAGGAATGGTGCAGCATTCAGCATCAAAAAGAACATTTTTTGTATCTGTGATAGAATAATATCCATACACCTACAAGGACGACCAGTTAATGCAAATTTATGTGTCAACCACTAAAGCCAGTGATAAGAAACTGAAGGGTTCTTCTAACTTCCTCAGTCTGAAATTGATCAAACATGCAATCAAGATGTATTGATAATTACAAGTGATTAGAATGCAGAAATTGCAAACAGAGGAAGAATCAGCAGTTGAAAAACAGGGCCTTGGAGATAGAAATAATGCTGGAAATTGCATGAAAGAATTTTGCAAGACAAATGACTTATTCATACCTTTTTCAAACTGTATAAAAGGTGACTGATTAGAAACATAGGCCTTACCAGCTGAAACACACAGGAAGAAAACTGACTAGCTCTGTAAAAAGAGATGGTGGGAAAGCCACCACAGTACAACAAACTGGAAAAAAATAAAAATAAAATAATAAATAATAATAATAATACCAAGTAAAATGGAGCTCTGGTAGCATAGTAGTTACAAATCGGGCTGCTAACCTTAGGATCAGCAGTTCAAAACTACCAGTTGTTCCACAGGAGAAAGATGAGTCTTTCTGCTCTTGTAAAGATTTACAGCCTCGGAGAGTCTGTACAGGGTTACTATGAGTTGGAACCGACTCTACGGTATGTAACAACAACAATTTTATAATGTTAAGTGCTGTCAAGTCAGTTATAATTCAGCAACTCTGTATAGAATTTTCTATGGGAATTTGGTGGATTTGAACCACCAACCTTGTGTGTGGTTAGCAGTGTAGTACTTACTCTGAAGTGTAACACCAGAACTCTGGTTTTTTAGTACCACATAATTATAAGAGATTTTGTGCTGTATTCCATTTTGTGTTTTTGTAACTTTGGAAAACACAGGATATGATTTTGAATAAGAATTTTAGCACCTCATGTTTACAAATTCATTTATTCTTTCTGTGTTGTTGTTGTTAAGTGACATTGAGTCTGTTCCAACTGACAGCAACCTTGTATAGAATTTGAACCACCCACCTTGCAGTTCAAGGATCTCTGGTAGCGTAGTGGTTACGAATCGTGCTGTGAACCGTAAGGTCAGCAGTTCGAAACTACCAGCTGTTCTGCGGGAGAAAGATGAGACTTTCTGCTCCCGTAAAGATTTACAGCCTTGGAAACCCTGTACAGGGTCGTTATGAGTCGGAACCAACTCCAAAGCACATAAGAACAACAACAACCTTATAGTTCAAACTGACCTTGTGGTCCATTGCTTATCCTAGGGCACCACACCAGGTCTCCTATAGTTATTAATCTGTAAGGGCTAAGCACCAACTATTAGAGGGCATCTAGTATTACATGGTTATTCATTAAAAACATAAAGTTCATTAAGTTGAGACAGAAGGAGATTAGGAATGTGTGAGATTATGCTGGATCCACGCAGGAATTGTCACCTTGGATTTGAAGGTCACAACCCCAAATCCTGCTGCCTTTCTCCTAACATTATGGATAGAACATTGAGCATATTTTAGAACTTGAAAATGTTATCCTTTAAAGTTTAATTTTCTGCTTTCCCAATGCCTATGTTTATCTGTATAAATATTTTTTTTAATTCCAGTCTTGTGGTTGTTGTTAAAGGCCATCAAGTCAGTTCCAACTGATAGGGTTTCCGAGGAGCAGCTGGTATGCTTGAACCTCTGACCTAATGGTTTAAACCAACTTGTGGTCTACTACTTATTTATTATAGTGCCTCCAGGAATAGCCGTAGGATTCATATTTATGGAGAAAATGTATTTGTAAAGCACCTTGAGCTTCAAGAACAGATATTATAAAACAAGGGTTATTATTTGCTCTCTTTTTTTGGCTTTACATAAAAAGAAATAAAAGGTGGCTTCAAACAAATGGAATTTAAAATAGTAGGATTTTTCTATGGAGCTTTTTAAGCCCCCTCATATCTAACATACATGTGCCGTTTAACACGCCAGGAATCCTATCTGTTCTGCACCAGTTTCACTTTCTCTGCCTGACTCCCTTCATTTCTTTAGTTTATATTGATGGTGGAGGAAAAGGCTACAGGCAACAATTGTTATGGGCTAAATTGACAGCTAGTGTTGAGTGTCGGAGCTCGTATTAAATGAATGAAGGGCCACTGTTGGGCAAGACATACATTCTTGGCAATTTGAGGGCAGATAGATTAGGGTTGGTGGGGAGACAGAATTCTATGAAACACATAAGGGTATAGAAATGATTTGGTAAATCAAATCATGTAGAAACCTGGGAACACATTGATCCCGTACCATTTCATCCAGAGTTATTCATTTCATTTGTCCAAATATTTGATACGTTTTATTTACCACCTTCTGCCCTCACTCATCAACACCTCATTGTCATTCATAAAAATTGTTGTCCAGAAGGTATTTCTAAGTTTAACCAAACTTACATGCAGTCTGAAAACTCTTTGGTATACTGAGGAAAGATAGGAAAGTGAGTGTCAGGGGCTACTGTTAGTTTTGGGAAACCTGATTACGAAAAAAAACAACCCAAAAGTGAAAAAAATCTATAGAGCAGGCTGCTTGTCCAGAGATGTATGAAAAACAAAGAGATTCTGAAAAGCATTAGAAAGTGAATAAGAGGACCTGGTAATTTTGGTTGGTTGAAACTCTGTGTGTAGGGCACTGTACATACATTATCATTGACTTCTGCTGATGGGAATACAATCTTTATCAAGCTGAGATCGCAACCAGTGAAGAAAGGATCCAAAAACTGAGGAAAGAGGAAAAATAGAAATTATGGGCCATGTTTGTTGTTGTTGTTAAGTGCCGTTGAGTCAGTCCCGACTCATAGCCACCCTGTATAAGGTTTCTGAGGAGTGGTTGGTATGGGCTGTGTTAAGACAGATGAATTTAGAAATGTTATATTGATATTTTAAACTGAAAAATAAGTTATGGTTCTGAATTTCACGATTGTAACATTTTAGATAATAATTCTTAGAAAGGGGATTCCTGGTATGGTGCTGTGGGTTAATGCGCCAGACTGCAAAACTGTTTGAACCGCAAGGTCGGTGGTTCAAGCTCACCAGCTGCTCCTAGGAAAACCTATTCCGGGTCGCTATGGGTTGGAAACGACTCAACGGCACTTCACAACAACAACTTAGAAAGGATTTCACATTGATTGCTTTGTTTCCAATGAATGGAAAAGTTGGAAATGATTTTATTGAATAAACAAAAAGTATTACAATATTAGGAGAATAATGAAACATGGCTGTTTGTTTTAGATGCTTACAGACAAGTGAAATAAAATCATATAATCTACAGTTGGAGAGGAAATACCATGCCATATGATTATAAATGATATGCACATAAATGTATTTAAAATAAGTAAATTGTTTTTTGTTTTTTTTTTATTTTAGTCTCCCCATAAAATTACATATTAGAATACTTAGTCTATTTCATGTTAAATCTAGTAAATCGAAAGTAGCTTCATTTGCTCTTTGTATATTGTTGCTGTTAAATGCCGTTGAGTCTGACCCATTGCAATTCTGCATAGGGTTTCCAAGGAGCAGCTGGTGAGCTTGAACTGCTGTCCTTGTGGTTGAAACCAGCTGTGCCGTCCAGCACATTAACTCACAGCACCACACCAGAACTTTGTATATAGCTGCCATAGTTTTGCTACTTGTGAAATAATTAAATTTATTGCATTATTTTAATTAACACAAATGTTTGATAACTGATTCCAACTAATTCTGACTCCACTTATTTTCTTGTTTTACAGCTTGGTTCATCCTCATCTGTTCCTTTTAGATCTATTTTTTCTCAGCTTTTTATGACTGTTGTGGTTCCCCTCATTATTGGACAGGTAAGTGCTTCTATACTTTTCTATAGATCACCTTTGGGAATTCGATTGTAATGTCAGGGCAATCAAGAGGATGGGTATTCAGAACAAAGAGATTATTAAATGAAAATATAAGACTGAAAACAAAAGATTTCAACAATCAAAATATTCTCATATTTTTAGTTGACACCAATCTGCTTTGCAAATAACTATATTGTGAAATATAAGGACACAGTACATATAATACTGATTTTTATCAATTATTTTGTCTTTCTAGCTATCTAGCTGACTGAAAACATCTAGCATATTATTAACTTACTCTGTGACTTCCAGTGAGGTCTCAGTTTTTATGGACATTCTAGGGAACAAGTGTCAATCTTTGGCAGTCTTCTCCATTTTTGATTCAGTGGATTGGTTTGGGTTTTTTTTAAGTTTTTATTGTGAATTATCTGATAATTTACATGGGAGAACATTAGCTTTACATTCATTCTATCATATTTTCTTTCATTTCCATGATTACAATCCCCTCCATGCATCATCAAACAACCAAAGGGTACACACTCAAGCCTGCCCCCTGGTTGTCAGCACACAGCTGGGTCTAGAGTCCCCAGCCGCTCCATCTCTCCACATTATCATCTCTGCCTCCATGGCGTCACTGCTTCTCTCCGTAGGGTCCTGCACTCCGCTCTTCTCCCCTGATTGTCCCAGAGACATCCGCTCTTGGACTGCAAAATCAACCACTCCCCTCTTTTTGTTACAAAACATCTACCTTTACGTTTCCAACCCTCACAGTCAGTCCTGATAACAATTATTCATGATTGTACCACAAGAGTCTTATCCCCATCTCCTTTCATCAGCCCCATCCAGACAGATTGGAAACCACTCAGTGGAGATTCTACTTTCCCCTGCAACCTCTAGAACTAGGCTCCCTCTTGATAGTTTGTAAGCATGTCACTTCTTGCCTTTGTACCCATTTTGGGTAGCCAATGTCTAAGTTGCCCATCCCTGTCTATCCTGTGTGCCCAGGGGTTGGGAATGATACTTGCTGTAAAGATTTGTTCCCTCTTTCAAATTGTATCAAGTTACCCTTTTTTTCCTCTTCTTTCTTCTTCTAGTCAAATTCTGGTCATCAGCCATTGAAGCCAGGTCAAGTGGGTACTATCTGCAACTATGGGTGTTCTTGTACATCTCCCCTCACTTTATATCAGCTGGACTCTTCACTCTTTGCTCCAGTCCTCTGTGGCTATGTCCCTGACCCTGGGCCCAGGAACACCCAGGTCTTGCCATAGTGCTAGCCAACCATGTGTCAACCTGGGTTCACAGGAGTCTATTGAACATGGTCGGACTACCTCACAACTTCATTGCTGTTTTTTCCCCACTTCCCATTATCAGTGACAAACGCGGTCACCAGTCAGACCACATGCCTGCTCGTGTATTCCCCTTGAGTCTTAGTCTTAGAAGGGGGTTTACCCTGAGGTGACCCGACCACTTGCTTTGATGGCTCTTGATTGAACAACTTGCTTGTTTTTGTAGTAGTCAGTCGGACTGCCATTATTGTTTTTAATTTTTCCTGCCGGTCTCTCTTTCAAGGAGTACCGTCTATTCTTCTAGCTGCTCCATGCTGGTCTGCCTGTCCTTTCAAGTGGAGATTTCCCACCTCAGAAAATTCTGGTTGGGGTTCAGGATTCCACCAATGCTCTTATGCAATACAAAGGCTCTGCAGGAAGCCTCCTTCACTGGGCAAGTTCTAGCCCCATTTTAGGTATTCTCATCAGTCATAGGCAGAAGACAGACTTACAAGCTTTCTATAGTGATGTTCTGGCTATTCCTTTCTCTCCCCCTCAAGTGTCTATTTTATAATGGTAGGGAAGGGAAACCAAGACTCAAAAGACAGCCAAGCATCTTAACATTATTTCCCCTCTTTTACCCATTCAAACCATGCCTCAATCCTTGTAACCCAGAGCCCTGTTGTTCCAAGGTTGTACATACATCATTGTTTACTTCTGTCCCACTTAGCCCATGCAAGCCTGCCTAATCGTTCTCCCATCTGCCTTTTTCTTCCATTCCTCTCCCCCGTCTTGTGTATTGCCACATCCCCAGCACCCAGGCTATCCTGTGTCTATTCCTACCCTGTCCTCCAGCTTCCCCTCCATCCCCTTAACTCAACCCCCACCCTACACATCACAGTAACCAGCAAAGAAGCTTTTTTCCCCCTTTTAGTGTAGGTTCTTTTTCTCAGTCTTTTACAATAATGGTCCTATGCAGTATTTCTCCTTTTGTGACTGACTTATTTCACTCAGCATA